TAATAATAATAATAATAAAAGAAGTCTTAACACAAGGCTATTACTAGCATTTTCAGAGTTTTCAATTGCATACTGTAGCCTATATTTTGTTGAAATATATTTAATCAGTTGTCAATTTCCTTTTACTTTAAGATATTCTTTGTTTATAAAAAATGCTGTATTTACACAATGTGATGTGTTTAAAGAATATTTAACTGGGCCATAGTTGTAATAAACTACTAATAATTTATCTTGCTTAATTAAAATAATGCTTGCAATGTCCCTTGAAATTAGTAGGCTTGTGGTGATTTTGCCCAAAAATTGCACTACCCCACTTCCGTAGTTAATCAAAATCCAGTTCCGTGAACAAGATTTTGATCAAGATAGCTATGACAGAAACTACGTCAATCAACCACAAAAGCAATATCTACATTTTTACCTTTCTAGATGTCATGCAACATGATAAGAAGCTTATTATTCTTGAATTTCCCTCGGGATAAATAAAGTATCTATCTATCTATCTATTTGGAAACAATGATCTGCATGAATGATTGGCTATTTGGCATTTGAGCAGTGTATGTGGGTGACATTAAGTAAAGAATGACTATCACTTTGTGCCTCCTCTTGTGAGCAAGTTATGACATGTGATGGTTTTACAAGAGAACAGGATGTATATTGTCTGTACGATTACAATTATTATTTAAGAGTGGGTGTTTGACAGTGGCTACATTTACTCACATATATTTACTGTATATAGAACAATTCTGTTGCCCTACTGGAGTTTTGTTTGAGTATTTTGTGAGATTTGGTTTTTCTATGAGAGAAAAATATGTTTACACTAAATGTATCAGGTAACATGTATGTAGAGTCAACTTTAACCAATCCTTCTAGAAAGCATTACTGTGGTTAGACAAACTTAACACTAACAGGACCACATATATGATTTACGACACTATTTACAGTAATCTCATATTGTTAATTGCACCAAGTTACATTATGTCAATGAATATTTCTTCAATAAAAAATTACTTTAATATAAATATGACATGTGACCTTCACTTGTAATGTGAGTATTTTTCTCTTATGACATTGCAAATTTGTGAAGAATCTGAGAAGCCTGGTTCACTGCTTGTAAGAGAAATGGTTTCTCCGTTTCACTTAATTCATAGTGTGCCAGATCCGGGTCCTTGAGCCTAGAGCTTGGCAGGTTTTCTATACCAGTGTGTCACATTCATCTGTTGCCACCTTGTTCCTGGAGGGTGGATTGTGGGACTATACAGAGGTTTACCCTTTTATTTAACTGGATATCTAGTTTTATGTAAGGCAAAGATACATATGCTGTATTGCAGACAGCACACCAATAACCTGTTTAAACGCCTACATATAATTAGTAGGTCCATAATAATGAAGCCAAGTTTCCTAAGAATGCTATTTCAAGAACAGGAATTTTAAGTCTCAAACTATAATTGAAGAAAGGTGTAGTTCCAAAGTAACTTTAAGACATATTTTCTATCATAAACTATTTGTCTGTGGGGCATCCACATGGTGTCTCATTATGCTGGATGGAAGCACTTATGCTTCTACCATTGTAGCTTGTGGAGACACGCTTGATTATGTTTCTCAGTTTCTCTTTACAGTACACGACTGTGATAAACCCTGGCAATAAACCCTGGTAATAATAAACCCTGGTATCCATCTGGTATTTGTTTTAGGCATTAAGTGGGTCTTTTATCATGGTGTATCCTATTTTACAGTATATCGCAATATTAATGTACTAGCATTTTCTTCTCTCTCTAGCATTTTTCTTCTCTTGACAAAAACATATAATCTCACATGAGCCTTGCATAAGTATGGCACAACCCTAAAAGGTATGGTTTGAGATACCTGGGACAAAGGTTGATATACTCCCACTCTGGTATGGAGAGCTATGAGTGAGAAGCAGTGTAACATATGATTTAATAGGAAACATTTCATTGTCATACAATCAGATACATTTAATCAAGTGCATTTGCATATCTGTGGATGTTTTAGAAAAGTTCTTGCAACACTCTTTAAAATTGTGTAAAAAAAAGCCACAAACATGCTGCCTTTGGGTGCCCAGCAGTATGTTGTTAAAAAATATATGGGCTGTAAGCACATGAAACTCAGTAAAGTGAAACCACTGGGTGTTGAGAGAGGTGACTGTAAATGATGGAGAGCATGCAGTTATAGTTATTCTGCAGTTAACAGTTAAATGACCAAAGGGTGCTGGGGATTACAACGGTTAAATACATGATGTGTCTCATTTTTATTTAATATATGTGTGCACATTTATCGTTTTAACACCCAATGTCACACACTGCCTTTGTAACTGGGCACAATATTCATATTTATTGATTTTACCTTATTTACGTCTGTAAAACCGAGGTTTACGAGGAGCACCTGAAGTACACAGAAAAAACCTTCTTTACGCTGAATTCAAGTTGTCCAATCAGGAGCCACCAACTCCTCCGACGCTGATTGGCCAGGAGCTCCACCGTCACAGGCCGTTGTTACGTCTATTCACGACGCGATTTACTCAACTCTTCGGCTGTTTCCGAACTGCGCGGTGAGAGTTTACGTACCGGTGACAGGCTGCGCTCAAAAATGAACGCAATGACATGAGCGGACCCCAGGAACTATCCAAGTCAAACACAAAACCTGACACATTGAGCAATTCAAGATGGTTTTAGAAAGTATTTCAAGGATAATAAAAGTCCAGCTTCCAGCATACCTCAAGAGGCTTCCGCTTCCGGAGACCATCGGCGGATTTGCAAGGTTGACAGGTAATGAACTGCAGCGGTGTTGCTGTTCTGACTGTACTGTGAAGATGACTTCTGAACTTCGGGGACACTTTACAGCACACAGCTCTTTACCTTTAGCTAGCCTGCAAACCAAAACTCATAGTCATAGTCAAGCTGCGGATGGCAGTGTGCTACTCAACCTGTGTTATGTGCTTTAAGTGGCTGCTTGGCTCCCAGAAAACTCTTCATCATCGTTTGATTTTTGTTGTTCTTACTGGCAACATCAACTCAGTAGTGACCTTATGGTGGTGCGTCCACTGTAAGGTTTTTATTTGTGTGTTTTTGGACGCTGGTACAGTTTTGGTCTGCAATGTAAGTGATACCATGTTAATTCCAACAATTAGAAATGTGCTGCCATGTTTGCCTCTAGCACAGTATGTAAGCAGCTCAGTCAGTACTGTCACAAGTGCTGCACTAAAAACACAGACTACTGTAAAGTTACATCATGATCCGTGTTTCACGACATTTGTGGGCGCAGACTTCAGGTTATGTCCCAAAATGGACCAATTTTATGGCAAAAAATGCCAAATGCAATGGTTCTAACTTCTCAAGTGTGAGAATTTGCTGCTTTTTTAAAATCTTTTATTATAGTAAAATGAGTTTCTCTAAGTTTTGGTCTGCTCGTCAGACAGAACATGGTGTTTGAAGGTGTCATTTTCACTGTTCTGGTGTTAATCAAAAGATTAATCAAGAAATCTCAATATTAATAGATAATAAAATGAATCATCAGTTGCTCTCCCAAACTTTGATATCCAGTTCAACAGCAACGGGCGAGCTCCAGCAGGATTATTTTGAATTATTTTGAATACATTAAACAAATATCAATGCATCAGTGTCTAGCGATGTACCGACCCGATACTGACCTTATTGAGAGGATTGTGTGTCAGCCACAGTCCACATTGAAGGTCCAGTGTGTAGGCATCTAGCGGTGAGGTTGCAGATTGCAACCAACTGATAACCCCTCCACTCACCCTCCCCTTCCAAACGAGTACGAGAACCGACGGTGGCTGTGAAACATTTGCAATTATTATAATCTTTTTTTCTTATTTTTATGTTATATTTGCAGCTTCCCTCTGGACAAAGTTCTATCTAATTCTATCTTATTTTACATGAACCAGTCCTGGACTGCATCATATCACATGTGGCATCTCTTGCGAATTGATAACACAAAAGGCTGATTCATTAGCTTATTTGCAAGTCTTCAACAATAACGCTAAACCGTGCACACAAAAATGTCCCCACAGCTTCTGTTTAAGTGCAAGAGCAGAGTTTGTGCGCAGTTAGAGGAGAAGCGAGTGAACAAGAGCAGCAGTGGTTTAGGGAACCAAGTGTCCTCAAGTGAAAGTCCACCTTGAAGCTGATCAACCACTCCAACTTGACCTTTCGAATGTAGCCTAAAAATAGCCCAAAAAAGTAAAAAGGCTGAGCAGTCCTACATTACTGACATGCTTTTGTGACAATTGACATGCTAGAACCGTTTGAGTAGTGCCTCTCCGCGAAGGCCGTGAAACCAAAAACATGCATGGAAGATTATGGGTATTGTGATGCTTAGTGCTAATTGATAAAGCTTTTGAAAGCCTTACTATTATTAGCTTTAAAGTTAGAGGTTTGCAGATGTTGGCTGAATTAAAACCTGTTTCTGAAGTTGTGTGTTTCTGTCATAAATGATCAATTTAGTCACTGCAGATTAGAAGAAGAAAGATTTATGAAATGCTCCTTCATGTGAAATATAATTCCTTTAAAGAGATTAAGGATTAGTAATGTCCCATTAGGTATCAAAATCCTTTTTTTGAGAGTATTCCAATTGCCATAAGAGCATTATGAAAAGTCCTGGGGTATATCTCACAGCTAATAGTAAGATTACATAACTGTGGCTAATCCGCACTGTGCTTCACTTGTCTATCCTCTCCATGTATGGTGGACTGAATGATGGGTTTCCCAAAGCACTTTTCTGGGCCGAGTGTGGCATTCCCACTGATAACTGCTCGCGTGAGACGATACTCTTCAATGATCAGTAATAGAGCAGAAAATGCAAATAAGAGTACATACAGTGTACAGTGTGTCGCCCTGCTCTCTACCCCGCTTATATAATCATGTATTTTAAAAAGCTTATGTCTGTAGGATGTTTTAATGTCTCACTAACATCATGGTATCAAACCGATGGCAGTTGTACTGTATCAGGCTTTCGAAAACATAAACGGTACCTACCACAATATTTGAGTTTTCTTTATCCAGCACTGTTCAAAGGTAACCATCCATGGAGACAGTGCATGTGGGGGGGAGCTGTGTTTTCTTACATATACCACACAGTGTACTCAGATGGTAGAATGTAGGTCTTTCAAAAATCTGAATGGACGAGCTGTGGTGCCGTCCGCCGTGATTGGAGTAATTGTTTTCCTAATCTGAAGTAGGTTTTGTGAATTGAAGTACAGCTGTAACGAATGGTTATTTTCTTTAATGATTAAGATGTGAGTTATCTTTTGTATTAACAATTCTGTCTTTAAAATGTGAAAAAAAATGCCCATCACTATTTCCTAAAGCCTCTGGTGATCTATTCATATAGCTTGAATTGTTTGGTCAGTGGTCCAAACCCTAAAAATACTTAATTTACTTTCATATATGACAAAGAAAAGTAGTCAATTCTCAAATTAGAGAAGCTGGAACCACTAAATATGTGGCATTTTTGCTTGGAAAATGACTCAAGTGATTAAACAACAAATCAAAATAGATGCTGATTAATCTTCTGCCCATTAACAATGTGATAAATCAACTGATTGTTTTAGCTCCAGCATCCAGTAATCTAAGCCCCATCCCCTATGGCCAAAGCTATTCTAGTTATAGCATGCCGGCGTTCATGGTTATTTTCCTACGTTTGCTAATGTGTATGTAATGTGTCCGCAGTGTCCGAGTGGCTCCGGTTGCTCCCTCTCCTGGGTATCTTGGCTCTTCTGGGCTATCTGACCATTCGTCCATTCCTGCCTAAGAAGAAGAAGCAGAGAGACAGCCTGATCAACCTGAAGATCCAGAAAGAGAACCCAAAAGTGGTCAACGAGATAGACATCGAGGACTTGAACAGCGCCAATGTGTGTTACTGTCGCTGCTGGCGCTCCAAAACTGTAAGTTCACTGCTTTTATTTTGACCTTTTCTATATATAATGGAGGCTGGGACTGACCTGTAGTGACAGTTAACTGGCATAGTTATTTGTATTTATCACACAGACTGCTAAACAAAGTTCACTTACATACATTAGAGAAGTTATACTTTTATTACTAAAGTCAGTCATTTCTTGTATGTATTGTTTACATACAAAAAAAAGGGGGGGAAAGGGAGAGTTTAGTGGTTCTGTCTCTTGCTGATCAGCTGATGTTGAGTTGTTTCCTGTTTTTAGTTTCCTGTGTGTGACAAGTCACACTTAAAGCACAACGAGCTAACTGGAGACAACGTGGGACCGCTCATACTCAAAAAGAAGATACTGTAATCGACCACTGATGGGAGTTTTGCTTTCACCTCCACAAGCCTTTAGTTTTCTTCTCCTAACAGTTTGTAGTTTGTCTACTTTTTTTTTAAACAAGAATCCTGTTCTGGCCTTGGTGTCATGTTGTTGGTCTGAAAAAATGACTTCCTCAGTCTTTATTTGAAGTGCTTCTAACACACCTAAAAATACAAATTGACAGTCAGATTGTGTGACAACTGCATTTTAGGTTGTGCAGTTAAGAAGGTTTTGCTTGTTGTGTTTTTTTTGTTTACCCTTTCTTCAGTCTTCATTTTTGTTGGTTAACAGAACACTTTTTATATGACTGTAAACTCAACTTTAGTCATGTCTCAGTCTTGTTCAAATCAATTACAATTTACCATTGGGACCACTTTGAGGGAATAACTTGAAACATAAATGCAGTGACTTTAATGATGACTTTCATTAATTTGAACACATCAGGGTAAATCCCTCTTAAATGGTTGTTTGAATTAGACTTAATACTACTCCAACCTGTAATTAACATTTTGTACTGTATGTCTTTATTCTGGATGGTTCTTTGGTGTGTTTTGTTTTTTTAACAGTCAGCCTTTGTAGTGTTCTTTTCTGTGAAATATTCTCTTATAAGTTATTGTGTGTATGGGAGGCTACTTATTATTTTTTTCAGATGTATTTTGTTCATAGCCTTTAAACATTTGAGTTTTACACTTAATATCCAACTCCGTTGCCTACAAACATTTCAAACCACTGCATCGTTTAGTAATACCCAGTTACATAGTTTTAACCTCACTGCCCTATTGAGGTTTGAGAATGTAACTTCTGCAACTTCAGCAGCTCTGTACCGTTTTTTGTTTTTGTTTTGATAGCCTTTGCACTGTCATAATGGCTGTATATAGTTGACTTTCTGCTGGAGTATTACCTTCTTAATTCATGAGCAATATTTTAGACATAAATTGCCTTTATTGTCAGATATGTGTTTTCATGATGAATGACTGCGTGTTTATGAACCTTTGTAAGAAATGGCTGGAATTGATTCATTCTTTAATGAAATGTAAAACCGAACGGTCAGGATGTTTAACTCAACAGTTTTGGCAAACAGAACTGCAGCTTCTATAAATTATGATTGGGAAACACTTCATGTAACCTTGACTTGAAATACCTTTTAATTAATGACAAGGTAACCGAGTACATCACTTTCTAATTGTCTGCTCCTCATTTTTTCAGGTTAAACTTGCATTCAGGGTCATATTTCCACAGAAGTGAACTGTTAAAGGCACTTTTACCCATACAGCCTCAAAAAGACAAAGAAAGCCACCAACAGCATCACATTTGCTCTTGCTTTAGTATTTTGTAAATTGTTGAACAGTAAGAGGCTAGCATGAAGCAGCACTGTGAGGCTGTACTTAGGGACAGTGGTTCTTGCAGCTAAGTGCTAACTTTAGCATGCTAACATCCATTAACAGGTATAATGTTTACTATGGTCACCGCGTGTTAGCTTGCTAACATTTGCTAATTAGCACTAATGGGGGAATGTCATTAGTTTTTCAGGTATTTGGTCATAACACAAAATTAAACTATGACATTTCATTCTAACTGTATATACTACATTGCATGGTTATCCATCCAACTGTTGAGACATTTTGAGCTTAAGTACAAATTTGAATCTCATGGTGGAGGTAGAGGAAATTCTACCTCCACCATGTAGGGATTCAGGAGGATTCATCCTCTGGGAACCATTAATATATGTACAAAATTGTGTGCTATCCAGTAGATGATGGGCTTGTTCACTGGATAAGTCAAAATTCAGGCTTCCTGGGTGTACTAGAGAAAAGATCAGGGGATCACTAAAGTCATTAGAGTTCGTCCTCTGGGCACCATTGACATCTGTACCAAATTTCATGACAATCCATCCAATTATTGGACAAAAGTTGCCAATGCTAGTGTGGCTAAAAAGCAAACAGTACAGAAACCGACCCGAATTAAAGGTACAGTAAGTCAAATCATATACATATATTGCATAGTAATACTGAACTAGACCAAAGAGATGGACAATTCTTGGTATGTTGTATCATTTATTGCTCAAAGAATATTTGGTAAAAAACTAAGCTTCAATCATGTAAATCTATCATAAATAATAACTAATAATACACAAGAACATTTAAATAAATTCAAACAAATCAAAAACATCTTAAGTAACACTGCATACTTCTGTAATAAAAAAGAAATATGTAACAAATGTGAAAAATTACTTTCCTTTATAATCAAACTATAAAAGGTGGGTTTACATAAATGTTTTCATGATATTGAAAGCAGACAGTGAGTGTAGCAGGGGTTTTAGCAGCATTGTGTATAAACCAAAGGAAAGCATTGTGTATTATTTATGTCTTCTCCTGAGTCTTTGTAAACTACACAAACCTTTCTCATCACCAAGACACAGCTAATACATATTTTATTAAAACAAAAAATGCACAAACACAAAGGGGTAAAAATATTGTACTGAGCACAGAACACCTAAAGACTTAAGCGTGTGTCAACTAAGTAGTCTAATTTAAAACAATAAAATACACTGTCAGTACATTCAATTATGTAGCCCTCAAAACGAAACTGCTTATAATAAAATCCAGCATTATCACATTCTCAAGTCCAAATACAGTAAATAGTTTTCTCGAATGTAGTCATAAAAAAGGGGCATATAGTGGATTCAGTGAATATGACCGGCAGGAATAATACCCACCTTTACAAACAATGTAAACCATATCCATGCCTCACACTAATAAAGCTGATTAAACGTTCATTTAGGAAACAAAACCACCCCATGTACACTGTTCATACAGCGTGACAGTGCAGACACTGAGTTGTGGGTCATTTGTTTGGAGCCTGAGGCCTGGAAACCCCTAGAGGCTATAAATACAGAGTGATTCATGTGTTCCTGCAGCATGGCAAACATCAGGAGCTGACCGGCAGATAGAGAGACAAAGAGAGCCACTCGGTGGCTGAAGGAAAACTCAAATATCCAAGGTGTGAAAGCACACCGGAAGTCTCTTAAAATGTCCTCGCTCAGTGGATGGTCAGAGTGTACTCTCATAGGTGATAGGAGTTTCATCGTCCTCTTCACCTCCTGCTGCGGTGCCTGGGTAAGACAGAGGGAGAAATGATGAAAAGCTTCAGTAAAAGACTGGTTACTTGTGTGCAAGCATGAGTTGCACTTTTGCACTGTGGTTAACAGACACAATGACACTGTTGTGTTAATGTAAAATACTTGAAGGCATGAAAGACTGGGTAAATAGAAGCACCCTAAAGCTATGCAAATCCTAGGCTGAGTGGATGCATCTATCAAAAAAAAAAGCTTTGCAGCAAAGGATATCCACTACTCAAACGTAACTACGAGGCGCGGCTCCATGGGGAGGGGTGTTGAGCTGAGTTTGAATTGTTGAATGTGGGACTTTACCTACCTAAGAAAAAGGCTGATAAAGTGGGTTTGACTCGCTCACCACAGGAGTTCTTTGGTTTTTGGAGCAGGCGAGGTCCAGAAAGCCCTATGATAAGAGCTCCTACAGGAGCTGTGAGAAGGATGGCCAGCACAGCCACTGTCAGCACGTCCATGCCGTACCTCTGCAGCTCCTTGTCGTCTTTTGTCCTGGCCATGTCTAAAGCTGTTGAGCCTATAGCCGCCTGATGAAGACAAGGACACCATTGTTTCCTCTATACTTACTCACAAATGATATTAAATATCAAATGTTTTTTTACATACTGGAAAAACCCTAACTGAGAACAAAACTCTCAGAAAGACAAGTACACAAACCTGTACAGTGGCTTTGGGCATCCACGCTAGGGCTATGAATACTTTTTCCTTCATGGTAAAGCCCGCACACATCACACAGACAAAAGTGAACAGGATTCGAACCAGCAGGGCGATGAGCAGAGAGGCTATACCCAGACCTAAACAGACAAATAGTCATACAAAGATGTTCAACTATACTGGTACGGAGATATACTGCTCTAAAAGGCAACAATTATTATATTATCAGTATTTCCTCTTTACAGCTGTGGGCAAGGAGGGGCACAGTAGTGATGAAAAGGGAAAACCACACAGGCTGGCTTGCTATGCTACTTGTGTATCTAGAAATATCTAGTCACTGTGGGTTATTTGTGGTGGAGGTACGCCTACGCCAAAATAATATTTACATATTTGCAAAGAAATCTATTCTTAGAAGTTGCTGTCTGCAGTTCTGAAGCTATACAATTCACGAAAAAAGAAATACATGAATGAAATTTTTCAGTATGGACATTTATAATATTTACAACTGGTGGTCAACAGTAGCCTAGCATAAAGCTACCTGGAAAAAGGGCCTGGAGGTGTATGAACACATTTTTAAAAAGATGAAAAGCCTGCAGTTGAAGTATTAATAATGCCCACCACATCTGCTCTTCTCATCTCATTTAAAAGCAGCTCACAGTTTTTTTTTTTAATGGGCCATGGTAAAAGCTGTGGTGGATTTGACCTAAAACCCAAAATACTAACTATTCCAAACCACACTGTATTCTGGGTAGTGAAGAGAGTGAAATTTGGATCACGTTTTTCATCCATAATAAATTATTTTACAAGAACATTTTTCTTCCATTACAGCTGAATGTAGAAACGTTATTTTTGTCATTTGTTCAGGCATGAATAAGATAATTGTTTTTGGGAGAAATCTAAGATATGTTTCCGAAGGAACTCTCATATGCAAACATCTATGGAAGTACAGTATATGGGTGCACAGATGGTTAATATTTACCTCACACAGAGAGATAAAACTCTTCAGGGGCTTCTTTTTGGCTATGCAAATATATTTACATCCATACAGTTGCATTTGAATCCCTTACAGTGATAACAGGGACCTCACTGTGTTATTTTGACGTGTGTGTGGCTGTGTGTGTGTGTCAGTGTGTCGTCTTACCAACTGTGACTCCCTCCAACTCAGAGATTCGAATCTCGGCTCCTATTAGTCCGAAGAGTAGAGGCTGAAATATGTCCCACGCCCACCCCACCACTTCCTCCACTCGTGCCTTAAGACAAACAGAACACACGCAAATGTTTAACTTTCACATGCAGCAGTGTCGATGTTTATTTATTAATGTACTGATGAATATCTTACTGTACATCCTAGTAGGTTGGTGAAGATGTGCTTCAATAATTCCTTATGAAATTTCTGCTGAGATAACTTTGTCAAGATGGATAATTGGGAATAGAGAGCGTATGTTATTACCTTCTCTGTCCCCCAGCCGATGCCAGCCAGGAATGCCAACACCAGGGTGCAGAGGCCTCCAGAGCCAGGAAACCCAGCCACACCGCTGCCGAACACGGCAAACACGGACAGACCCAGCACCAAGAAGGATCGCTTCATTACTAAATGTTTCTGGGAGAAAAACAAATGAATATTTAAATATAATTTAATCTATGAATACAAAATGCTCCATATGACACTTAAGGTAAGGTGTCACATTATATATAATGGTGGTTAATCTCAAAATTGAATGTACTTGTGTTTAACCTACACTGATTCATACAGACAGATTTGTTGACAAGTCTTGAGTCTGAGTTGAGATAGTACAGTGTTATATCTGTTATCTTGACCCCCCAAAACATCTCTTCCATTATATTCCTGTGTGTTCTCACCAAAACTCCTCAGTGTTTATCATTTTAAATCAGACCTGGAACACTTCACTGATGTTTTTTCAAGCGATTTTTTTGCTCTTCCAGAGTTGTGTCAGACACAGGCTGTGGTGTCAAGTGGTGTAAGGATGACTAAGCAAGAGTAAAACTGGTCAATATGATGGTAATGCTGTAAACAGCACGCCTACCTGGTCAACGCTAGGAAAGTACTGGATGAGGAAGCCAAGAAGAATGCCAGCAACCAGCCCACCAGCCACCTCCAGTACACCTCTCAAGAGGTTGTACCAGGTGGAGCCTAGAAACATGAAATAAAACATATATATATATATATATATATATATATATATATAAAATAATAATATATACAA